GATGGATGGATGGATGGATGGATGGATGGATGATTAGATGGATGGATGGATGGATGATTAGATGGGTAGATGATTAGATGGATGGATAGATGGATGGATGATTAGCTGGATGGATGGATGAATGGATTCTTGGAAAATTCTTGGAAAATGGCAAGCATGGAAAGTGCCCCACTGATAGCTGATGTAAGTGTTGCCGAGGCCACCATGCACTTTGTCCTTTTGACATCTGTATAAAGTGTTCACGAATGTGGGAGTTACTATTATTTACAAATCAATTACCTACTCCAAATCCAAGCAAAAAAACGATATATACGAACAAGAACTTCAGAACGTCATGCAAAATGACCTACAAAGAAAGAAACAGAATTCAAGCATAAGGTGCAAGCACATATTCACCGTACGCTGATCTTCCTGCTTCCCACCCTCTCCCAGCCCCCACCCTAACCGTCCCTTCACTTGGGCCACTCTCCCCTGCCCCAGCCAAATCTTCCTGATGTTCCGAGGCTCAGCTCTGGATCCCGCCTCCTCCAGGAAGCCTTCGGTTCCTGCTCCAGCCCCAGGTTCTCTTCTCCCTGTGATCTGCCCTGTACCTTTCACCACAGGTTCTCACATCTGGAATCCTCACACTTCCTGGGGGCAGTGGCATGCTGGAGCCAGCTCAGAACAGCTCGCAAGAGCTGAGAGTTACATTTTCCTGAAGCCTGTGAGCTGGTTGTTAAACACAGCCATTATTCGGAACTAAATCAAACTTTCAGTTAGAAGATAAGTAAGTTCTGGGGATTTAACGTACAGCACAATGACTATAGTCAGCAACACTGTGCTGTGTGCTGGAAATCTGCTAAGAGAATAGATCATACATGTTCTTTTTTTTTTTTTTTTTTTGAGACAGAGTTTCGCTCTTGTTACCCAGGCTGGAGTGCAACGGCGCAATCTCGGCTCACAGCAACCTCCGCCTCCTGGGTTCAGGCAATTCTCCTGCCTCAGCCTCCTGAGTAGCTGGGATCACAGGCACGCGCCACCATGCCCAGCTAATTTTTTGTAGTTTTAGTAGAGACGGGGTTTCACCATGTTGACCAGGATGGTCTCGATCTCTTGACCTCGTGATCCACCCGCCTCGGCCTCCCAAAGTGCTGGAATTATAGGCGTGAGCCACTGCGCCCGGCTGATCATACATGTTCTTACCGCACACAAAGAAACAGCAACTGTGTGAGGTGATGGGTGAGTTAACTAATTGAAATTGGAAATCATTTCACAATATATACCTATATCAAATCCTTGCATTGCAAAAAAAAATTAAATTGTATAAACTTACAATTAAATAAGTTATATTTTTTTTAAAAAAGACAGGCCAGGCACAGTGGCTCAATCCTTAAGACAGTGATTGAGAAAGTGTTAATCCAGATCACATTTTTAAATCTGTTCTGTCTGCAGCCTTTACACCGTGTACAGCACACACATATCAATAAAATATTCTTCCGGTGTTTGCAGACTATCATCCAATTCAGCAAAGAAGTTGCTCACATCATTGATAAACATGTAAAGTTCAACATAAATCTTAACTGTTTCACTTTAATCACTGCTTATAAAGAAGAATAGCAACCAACATTCATGTCTGAACAGTACTCTTCTGTCAATTGCAACTAAAGGTTGACGACAAAAACTAGAATTCAATAAAAAGCAACAAATAAGCCAAGCGTAGTGGCTCACACCTGTAATCCCAGCACTTTGGCAGGCCGAGGCAGGTAGATCACCTGAAGTTAGGAGTTCAAGGCCAGCTTGGCCAACGTGGTGAAACCCCATCTCTACTAAAAATACAAAAATTAGCCAGGAGTGGTGGCGCATGCCTGTAATTTCAGCTACTCAGGAGGCTGAGGCAGGAGAATTACTTGAATACGGGAGGAGGAGGTTGCACTGAGCTGAGACTGGGTCAAGACACTCCAGCCTGGGGGACAGAGCAAGACTCAGTCTCAAAAAAAAAAAAAGGCAACAAATTATTCTGAGACTCAACTGGCTACGTGGAATTTACAATAAACTGTATTGTATATTTTCATTATTTGCAAATTGCATGATAGACATCCTTTAATAGTAAAATGTATGATAAGTTTATGTGTATACATACACACACCTATATATACATATTCCACCTACACACACACACACACACACGCATGCACGCACGCACACAGTGGTTATTAAATGTTCACCAGCACGCCACTGCCCGGGGGTGAGAACATTCCTCCACAAAGCATCCCCCTCCCCAGTGCCCCACAAGCCCGGGGGATTTAAAGTCTGGATGCCTAACACGGCATTCGGGAAAAGGAGCAGTGGCCGCCCCTCGGTCAGCCCCTCTGCCTCTGCAGGTCCCAGTGTCCCCATCTGAAAAGCGGCCGTCCTCTGAGGGCCCTCCCGCCGGCGCGGCGCCCAACGCACCTTCTGGATCATGACGCTGTACATGCCCATGGACTGGAATCCCCGCGTGTAGTAGAGCATGTTCGCCCAGCCCAGGGCCATGGCCAGCACGAGGCAGGCGAGGTACTCTTTGTAGGCAAACAAGTACAAGAAGACAGACAGTATCACAAGCACAGCTTGAATAAAACTGTTCAGGAGACACAGGAGACACCAGCCTTACTTACGACTCCTCAGCATCAGGGCAAAGACATGCACATCCCCAAACCTCACCTACACCCCTGAACCCCGGTGACGGGCACTAAAGAGATGGGTATCAGGCTGCCCCAGATCCACGCAGCCACCATACAATTCAGCCTGCAGAAGCATCACCAGAGGTCAGTCACAGCCCGTAGTAGGCTGACTGCAGCTGATGGGGGCTTAAAAAAAAAAAAATACAAATCCACAGGGCCGCAGAAGGTTCTAGGGTACAGCCCAGGAGGCCGTATATTTTTTAAGTTACCCACACGGGCCGGGCTCACACCTGTAATCCCAACACTTTGGAAGGCCGAGGTGGGGGGAGCGCTTCAGGTCAGGAGTTCAGGACCAGCCTGAGTGACATAGCAAGACCTTGTCTCTACAAATAAAAAATATATAGAAAAAAAATCTAAGTCACCCACAGAATTTCTGATTCCCACATTGATTTGAGAATTTCTAGAGTAGACCAAAGATGTGGCAAATGACTGCATTTTTAACCAAAATGACAAAAACTGCCAACATCTATACTTATAAGCCAATCACAACAAAAGTCCCCCAAACCCTACTTTTTAAATCTTTCTGTGTGCATGGAAGATTGAGTCTCACTCTGTAGCCCAGGCTGGGGTGCAGTGGCGTAATCTCTGCTCACTACAACCTCTGTCTCTGGGATTCAAGCAATTCTCTTGCCTCAGTCTCCTGAGTAGCTGGAATTACAGGCATGCAGCTAGCTAGTTTTTGTATTTTAGTAGAGCGGAGTTTCACCATGTTAGCCAGGCTAGTCTCAAACTTCTGACCTCAGGTGACCCACCTGCCTCAGTCTCCCAAAGCGCTGGGATTACAGGCATGAGCCACCACTCCCAGCCTCAAAACTCTTTAAAGTATGATATATGGTAAGTGAAATAAGCTAATCCTTAAAAAAACAAGTACTACATGACTCAACATATAAGGTCCCTAAAATAGTCCAATTCACAGGGAAAGAAGGAAGAATGGTGGTTACGGTGGGCGGGGGGCAGGGCTCAGATGGAAGCAGAGGAGTAGGGGCTGTTGATTAATAGGTGTGGAGTTTCAGTTTTGCAGGACGAAAAGAGTTCTCAACACTGACTGCCCAACAATGTACTTCACAGTGTTGATTTGTACGCTTCAACAATGGTTACCATGGTAACTTTATGTTATGTGTATTTCACCACAATTAATTTTTTTGTTTTGAGATGGAGTCTCCCTCTATTGCCAAGGCTGGAGTGCAGTGGCGCAATCTTGGCTCACTGCAACCTCCACCTCCTGGGTTCAAACGATTCTTCCTGCCTCAGCCTCCCAAGTAGCTGGGACTACAGGCACGTCCCACCACGCCCAGCTAATTTTTGTATTTTTAGTAGAGACAGGGTTTCACCATGTTGGCCAGGCTGGTCCCAAACTCCTGACCTCAGGTGATGCGCCCGCCTGAGCCTCCCAGAGTACTGGGATTACAGGCGTGAGCCCCCATGCCTGGCTGCCCTGAAGTTTTCTGATCCTCTCCACCGGCATCCATGTGTCTCCTGCTAGGAGAGAGAGGAGGTCCCTGGCGTGTCCCTGTGGCAGAGTGCCTGCCTGGGATGATTGTTCAAGGGGAATGCAGCAGTCACCACACAGGACGTCAGCCCCGCCTGTGAGGGGGTAACCAAGGGGCCAGACCTACTTACAAGACAAAGTGAAACCAGGCGTCCGAGAGGATGGACTGCAGATCTGAGGGTCTCAGCAGGAAGATGGCAATGCCCTAGGCCAGGAAGGAGAGAAAAACTGCACCCTCTTCATGGCCCTTGCTGGGGCAGCTGGGCAGGGGGTGCTTCCCCAGGACCGAGACTCAGTGAGGGTTGAATGTGCGAAGGCCTGGCTCGAGCCCAGGTGATGGATATGTAAGGGGACCTGTGCCTGGTGGGGGGGGGCGTAGGCTGCTCCACGGTGAAGGTGGGCGCGCCCTCAAATCTCACCTCCCTCACCTCTTACCCCATTCTCACCCCAGAGCCTGCAAAGCGGTACAATCTACAGCTGCCTTCCATTCCCAAATCCAGCCTCCGAGCCTTTGCTCATGCTGCTCCCCACGCCCGCCCTGCAGTGACCTTGTCCCCACGGTCCTCATGCCCAATCCTACTCCACCAGAATAAGTGCCATGTCTGCCCTCAAGCATCTCTGCCATCCCCTGGCCCCAGGTAAAAGTCACCTCCCTTCCTCTGAACACTGATCTGAACCCAGCTTAGGGTCTTCTTTGGTCTACTGTCAAGTCTTGATATTTGTGGCCATACTATCTCCCCCACCAGGCTGTGAACTCAAAGAGGGTAAACTCACCCCGTCTCTATCACCTCCTCCAGGGCCACACATATATAGGTGTTCAGATTATATGTGTTGATTCACTGAATGGATGGATGGATGGATGGACAGATGGACGGATGGACAGACAAATGGATGGAGGGAGGAAGGGAGGGGGGAAGGGAGGGAGGCGGGGAGGGAGGGATGGAAAGACGGTTGGATGAAGGATAGAAGGATGGTCGGTAAGGATGAGTGGGCATGTGAACGGATGAATGAGTGGCTGGGTCCATGAAAGAGAGCAGGTGATCGGATGGGTGACAGGGGTGGGAGAGGAGGATGGACACTGAGGGGCTGGGAGGGTAGATAAATGGCAGATAGTTGGACAGATGGATAGAGAAGTAGATGGATGGAGTAGGGAGGATAGGCCAGCCTTATTCATTTGTTCCTACAACTCAGAGAGCTCAGGGTTGGGAAGGAAATGCCTCCCCAAAGCTCCCCAGCTGTAACAGACAGGAATGAAGGCCAGGCGTCCTGCCACCTGCCCACCTCGAGGGGTGGTCCGGAAGGGCCGAGTGGCCACTCACCTCTTTCACAGAGATGCACGTGGCCCAGATGAGCACAAACATCCTCCCCAAAAGCTGCAGCCACCCCATCTTGTGGGTCAGGGCCAAGGGGTGTGGGAGGGCCTGGGAGGAAGGAGGAGGGTTGGTCAGAATAGGGAGGAAGAAGGGCCGGGCTGGCCCCAACACTAGAGCAGCCAAAACACAGGAAAAGTGCTCAAGCCAGGTCAGAGACCAGCATGAAACCCGATCTCTTTACAGGTCCAGAGAAGGAAGAGCCGCTCCCTGACCCCTACCCTCCCCACCGTTGATGGAAGCCCAGATCTCTACAACGAGGAGTATCATCCAACCCATGCTAAGCACCCTCACGCTCTACTGCAACAGTCTTTCCAGAACCCTCCATATCCAGACACTCAACATGGCCTCACAGCACAGTTCAATAAAGCCGAGGCTCCGTGCCCCGTGTGATGGAAGGGAAACTGAGGCCCAGCAGGCAGGGAGCGCTTAGCCCCCTCCCATTTCCTGCGGCCCTCACAGCAGAAACACCCGACCAGTTCTATATTTAGACAGAGACGCTGGCAGGTCCTGAGTCTCTGAATTCTCCAACTTCCCCCAACATGGGTCTACCTGGGCCTCAGCCCAGCCAAGCACTGGAGACAAACTCAGCCCCTCCCTGGGGCTCAGTTTCCCCATCTGCACGTGGGGCAGCTCCAGCTGTGCCCGCCCCCTCTTCCCCCTGCAAGGGGCCCACGTACCTCCTCCTCCCGGGGGCGGTAGTACGAGACCAGGGTCAGGGTGATGTTGTAGAAGAAGTAAAAGCAGAAGGACAGAAAGAACATGTACTTGGCAAACTTCTTCCACTTCATTCGCAGCAGCGTGTGCAGCGGCTCCAGGGTCAGCATCTCGTGCCGGTTCTGGGGGGGAAGGCCAGCAGTCACATGGAGGCGAGGGAGGAGGGGGCACCGAGTTCAAATGACCCGTGGGAGCTCCGAGTCAGTGCCACCCTGGAAGGGGCCATCATTACACCCGGTGGACGGGTTTGGCCGGAAATGCTGGGAGGGTGATGCCAGCTCCTGAGGCTCCTCCCCAGGGTGCTCGGGCAGCAAAGGCCCCCAGAGCCCGGGTTCCGGCAGGAGGACCCGAAGCACAGCAGAAAGTGAAGGCTAGAAGTGGGCAGGAGGTGGTGACAACAGTTCCAGCCCCAGTTTGCCCCTCCTTCGCTGTGTGACCTCAGGACAGCCTGACCCTCTCTGGGCCTCAGACTCCTCACCTATACAACTGGGAACAATCCCTGCCCTGCCAGCCAGGCTGCTGTGAGGCGCTGGGAAGACCCAAGGCCAGGAGACTCTGGGAAGCACGACTCTTGGTAAAACACAAAGGAGAAAGGCCCAGCCTGCTGCCCCGCTTCCCCCAAGAGCTGAACATGCTTCACCTGTTAGAGTGGACAGGTGCTCCTGTTCACAGGAGGAGGACAGTGTCCGAGGCCTGGTCTCACCAGACCCAGGGGGTTCCCATCCCATCGGTCAGGAGAGCTCAGGCAGAGAGCTCCTAGGGATAAGGCCAAGTCTCTTCGTCCCGCACCCCAGCCTATAAACCCTACAAAAAGCCCCAGGACTGTGGCCAACCTGGGCAGCATCCAGCTGCTCCTCTCTTCACCTCCATTTGCACCAAACTCCTCCCGCTAGCCTTCTCCAGGAAGGCCCCCCTGATTTCTCCAGCAGTGCACTCTCTGACCCTCATTTGGGACCAGTTTTTGGGAGAGAAAGCATCCTAAGCCTGGCCATATACACCAACAGGGGGTGGGAGAGACACAATATGTAAAGGATCAGCCCCAACCACCCCTTCACCCACACCCACACTCACACCCATACCCACACCGCCCTGGATACTGGGTCCAGAAGACCCCCCCCCAACCACCACCACTCAGGTCTACAGTCCAAGGTCAACCAGGAAGAGTCGGGCCCAGCATCTGTGCCAGGCCTCCACTTTCTGTGCCTGACTCTGCCCACTAAGACAAAGGAGTGTGGGAGGCAGACACAGCGGGGAGGGCTGGGAGCACTGGGTCTTCCCAGCATCTGTGAGCCCCCGGTCTGAAGCCCAGCCCTCAGTGCCCTGCCCAGCCTGCCCGGGAGACCCACGTCGATGTTGGTGTTGTAGACAGTGATTTCCAGCACCGAGTTGTCTGTGGTGGTGTCCACGTTGGTGAGGTCGTACAGGGAAGACGACACGGGTCCATACGCCCAGTCCGTGAACTTCCTGGACAGGCTTCGGAGCCGCTTCTCCTTGATCTCACGACTCAGGATGTACTTCAGGATCTAGGACGGGACGAGGCACAGCTGTCAGCTGCAGAACAGGGGCCGGGGCTAGCAGGGCTGGGCCAGCCAGAGGCAGGCTGGGCCCACAAGATACTCCCACCCAGGACGGGTGGAGACCTGCCTCTGCACCCGGCGCAGTGACGCCAGGGACCCATCTTTATCTGTGGAACACGCACGAAGTTTGCCATTGTGCCCATCTCACGGGAGGTTGTGAATGCCAGGGAAAAAAGGTGGGAAGGTTCTTTGCAGGCTGCAGCAAGCTGCACAATCAGCTTGAAATCCTCATACCAGCCGCAGCCCCAGTTCAGTGAAAAATGCAGGCACTGATGATTTCTTAGAACCAATTTCCATTTGTTCTGGACTTGAGAAGAAGCCAGAAGTCTTCCCAGCTGCCCCGGTCCACCTCAGCCAAGACCCCTCCAGCTGCGGCTCACCACTCTGGCCAGACGGGTGGTGATGATAGGCACCACCCCTTATAGGGAGGCCCGTGGGACTTTGGTAGGTCAGTGATCTTCAAAACTCTGCTCCATATTAGGGTCACTGGGAAACTTGGAAATACCCACAGCATGGCCGGGCGCAATGGCTCACGCCTGCAATCCCAGCACTTTGGGAGGCCGAGGCGGGTGGGTCACTTGAGGTCAGGAGTTCGAGACCAGCCTGGCCAACATGATGAAACCCCATCTCTACCAAAAATACAAAAATAAGCCAGGCGTGGTGGTGCATGCCTATAATCACAGATTCAGGAGGCTGAAGAAGGAGAATCGCTTGAACCTGGGAGGTGGAGGTTGCCGTGAGCCGAGATCACACCACTGCACTCCAGCCTGGGCGATGAAGTGAGACTGTCACAGAAAAAAAAAAAAAAAAAAAAAAAAAAAAAAAAAAAAAAAAAAAAAAAAAAAAAAAAAAAAAAAAAAAAAAAAAAGAAGCCACACGCAGCAGCTCATACCTGTAATCCCAGAACTTTGGGAGGCCAACGGGGGAGGATCACAAGGTCAAGAGATGGAGACCATCCTGGCTAACATGGCAAAACCCCGTCTCTACTAAAAATACAAAAATTAGCTGAGCATGGTGGCGCACACCTTAGTCCCAGCTACTCGGAAAGGCTGAGACAGGAGAATCACCTCAACCCAGGAGACGGGGGTTGCAGTGAGCTGAGATCGCGCCACTGCACTCAAGCCTGGCAACAGAGCAAAAGAGACAACAGCATCAGCTAATGAACTCGAAATCTCTACAGTGGGACCTGGAGTCTATTTTGTGAAGCTTCCTGGGTGGATCCAAGTGCAGGGATCGGATTTTGGATGCAGAGCTGCTGCTCTCTGGCTTCCTACTTCCTGAAAGCTGAGCCCTGGGTCACCCCAGGATGGGGACATGGGCTGCCTGGGGCACCAACTCAAGACCCAAGAGGAAGGGACTGCTGGGAAGGACAGCGTCCAAGGCCTGGTCTCAGCTGACCCAAGGGATTCCATCCTGTCTGTCATGAGAGCCCAGCCAGAGAGCTCCTAGGGATAAGGCCAAGTCTCTCTGTCCTGCACCCCAGCCTGTAAAAGCCCCAGGACGGTGGGCAACCTGGGCAGCATGCAGAAAAGTTTTCTGGAGGACATGGAACAGAGGAGGGGAGCAGGGGACAGTTGCCTTCCCCAGGCTGGCCACAGTGGGCACACTGGCCCCTGGAGAACAAGGGTGTCCTGGGGCCGTGCTTCATGCAGGAAGCCTCCTCCCTGGGCTGGGGCGGCAGGGACAGCACACGCCACAGTGGCACACAGGGAAGCCAGCCTTGGAGAAAGCTCCATCTGCAACCACAAGCTGACTCCTCAAAGCCTCTGCAAGCTGTGTCCCTGAGGGTGGGCAGGAGGCTCGGGGAGGCAGCCACACAATCCCTCCTCTGTTGAAGCCGTTCTCCAGCTCCTCCTCCCCCACGGGGGAATAAAAAGGGCCCTTGTGGGGCCCAGCCCTGGCCGCTTGGGACAGGACCAAGGCCCTCAGGGCAACTGACAGGGGTGGGGGGAGGGTACCCCGAGGCTGGCACCGCTGTGATTACTCAACAGCCACCACCCCCCAGCGTCCTCCTGCGGCTTCCAGGGAGCCACGGCCTCCTCGCAGAGGGCAGAGACAGCAAGGCTGAAGAACATGCTCGGTCCCCAGGATCAGTCCCCCAGAACATGAGGCCCAGCCATGATGCCAGCCCCTGAAAGAGATCCGTCCAGCCCTGCTCTAGCCTTCAACAAGGCTCCCAGCTAAGCCTCGACTTCTCAGCCGCGTCACACAAGGCAAGAAGGGCCCGAAGCAGCCACACTGCTGGGGACGTGACACGGAGTTCCAACCCGACAGCCAGGCTGGGGTCTCTCCATAACCGGGAAATGGTAGCCCATTGGTTCCGGGCCGGAGCAGCCGTCCTGAAACTCACGAGGGGCAGAAGTCCCCGAGGGCCACCCACTCAGCCCTGCGGGGGCTACGGTGTCACCTCAGCCTCAAGCTCCCCCAGCGCAGCCCTTCCAGGACAAGGGATGGAAACGCGGCGGATTGGGGGCAGAAATGTGGGGATCGGATGCACAGGCCGCATGGCGCCAGCTCCGAGGGGCCCCTCAGAACAAACCCACCACGGCCGCCACTGCGTTTCTGGACCTCAGGTTGGGACCTTCCCAAGCCCGCGGCTGTGCTCTGTGGATCCCCGGTTGGGGGCCCCGGGGCTGAGGGAGTGGCCGCTGTGCCTCCCGACCCCGCCTCCCGCGCTCCGGGCCCCGCCTACCGCTCCTCGGGCTCCGCCCCCGCGCCCCTCACCGCGCCCGGGCCCCGCCTACCGCTCCACGGACCCCGCCCCCCGCGCCCCGGGCCCCGCCTACCGCTCCTCGGGCTCCGCCCCCGCGCCCCTCACCGCGCCCCGGGCCCCGCCTACCGCTCCACGGACCCCGCCCACCGCGCCCCGGGCCCCGCCCCCCGCGCCCCGGGCCTCCCCACCACCGCGCCCCGGGCCGCACCTCTGCCTTGCCCATCTTGGCCGCCAGCTGCAGCGGCGTGAGGCCGTCGTTGTTGCGCGTGGTCTCCAGCTCCCAGCTGCCGCTGCGCCGCAGGATCGTGTCGTACATGCGCTTCACGAAGTCGTTCTGCGTCTGGAAGTCCTCGGCCACGGTCACAAGGGCGTGGAGGATGTTGTTGCCCCGCGAGTCCTGGGAGGCGATGTCGGTGCGCTCGTGCTCCATCAGCAGCTCCACGATCTCGGGCTGGTTGGTGCACGCCGCCAGGGCCAGGGGCGTCTCGCCTGGGGGAGGAGGGCGCCGAAGCTGGGTTCTGGGTCCTTGGCTTGGGCCGCAAGCAACATCCCCAAGCCCCAGGACTGGGGCCCACATCCTGTCTCAGCAGGATCCGCAAGTGAGGTTCCCTGGTCCTCTCCCCATCTCCTGCTTCTGTGGGGGAGGCTGAAGCAGCCTCCACACTGGCCTCCCTGCTGCCACCCTGGCTCTTCTCTACGTACCTGCTGGGCACAGCAGCCAGACCAACCTGTTAGCGCCTCCCCCAGAATGAAAGCTCGAGTTCCAACGACTCCCACAAAGCCCTGTGTCCTCTGACCTCTCCTCCTCTCCCATCACTCACTCGCCCTGACAATGGCTTTCCTCCACTTCCTCCAACATGCGGCCGGCCCGGGGCCTTTGCTTGGCTGTTCCCTCTGCTCGTAGACAGCCAGTCCCTTGCTCCCTCACCTCCTTCAAGTACTTGCTCAAACGTCCCCTTTCAGTGATCCGGCCTAACTGGCTCTATTTAAAACTAAAGAATTTTAAACTATTTAACTCTATTTAAAATTGAACTGTTTAACTCTATTAAAATTAAAATAAGGCGGTGGGTCACGCCTCTAACCCCAGCACTTTGGGAAGCCAAGGCAGGCGGATCACCTGAGGTCGGAAGTTCGAGACCACCCTGACCAACATGGAGAAACCCTGTCTCTACTAAAAATACAAAAAAATTAGCCGGGCGTGGTGGCGCACGCCTGTAATCCCAGCTACTTGGGAGGTTGAGACAAGAGAATTGCTTGAACCTTGGAGGCGAAGGTTGCTGTGAGCCAAGGTCAAGCCATTGCGCTCCAGCCTGGGCGGCAGAGGGAGACTCCGTCTCAAAAATAATAATGAATAAATAAATTAAATTAAAATCCACCCCACTCTGGCCCCAGACAGAACTCCTAATTCCTGTCCTCTGCTTCACTTTGCATTTTTGAAGAGCACTTATCATTTCCTGTCATATTACACTGGCTCCAACCAGGTTCCGGGCAGGGCAATGGTACACACTAGGAACTGGACAATACCGTGTTTGTCAGGACACCCAGACCGGGACACCCAGGGCTGCCCAGAGCGCAGGCTAGCTAGTCCTGCTGATAAAAACTACCCAGAAGATAGTCCCAGCTACTTAGGAGGCTGAGGCGTGAGAATCACTCCCAGAAGGCAGAGGTTGCAGTGAGCCGAGATTGCGCCACTGCACTCCAGCGGCCTGGGCAACAGAGCGAGACTCCGTCTTCAAAACACCCAGAAGAGAAAACTGATGGGTGATGGCCAGTCAGGCAAGACTGGATGGGAGGAGGGGTCTCCTCTGCAACAAAGTTGCACAGAGAAGTTTTCGGGTGTGAAGGAGCCCTTGGTTCCTGTCCTGATTGCAGTGGTGGTTAGCCAACCGTCCATGCCGTGAAAATGAACAGAACCGTGCTCTAAACGGCTGGATTTCACTGTGTCTACATTACGCATTTCCATTTTTTTTCGTACAGCATCCTAACCCCAGTTGCTTTTGGACTCTGTAACTTGTCGGGCAGAGGAGTTTGGTCCTCTCACTCTCGACTCCCTGTCTGCAGTCCTGAGAGGCACTGAGGCCAGAGCTGGAGGCCAGGACGCCGAAGTCAATGCCCTGCTACATTGGGGCAAGTCCTTCCCCTTCGAAGAGCGATCTCCTCGCCTGTAAAATGCGGCTGCCTCCTTGGCCTCCCTCCCAGGTCTCTGTTCCCTCAGAGGGATGTCCAGGACGATGCTTCTGAGACCACCAGGTGACACCCCCAGAATGTGGGCTCCTCCCCCCCCCACCTCCCAGCCCCACCTTCTCTGGTCCACACTGGTGGAGATGGACACTCCCAGATGGACATCTCCAGCCTCCTCCCTGCCCAGCTCTGTCCTCTGGGGCACCAGAGCCTCTTGACCGTGGGGGTGGAGTGCAGAGCGAGGCGGCCCCTCCCTTCCTCCCTCCTCCCTTTCCCTCCTCCTTCTCCCTCCTCCCTCCCTCTCCCTCCCTCTCCCTCCTCCTTCATTCCTCCCCCCTCTTCCTTCCTAGCTCCTCCCTTCTCCCTCCTCCTTCTCCCTCCTCCCTTTCCCTCCTCCCTCCTCCCTCCCCTCCTCCCTCTCCCTCCTTCCTTGCCATCCTCCCTCCCTCCTTCTCCCTCCTCCTTCCTCCCAGACTCCGCGCCGGGCGGGGGCGGCACCCACCGAAGTAGAAGCCCTCGTGCTGGTTCTTGGGGTTGAAGAAGGCCCCCTTGGCGTGGGCGTTGACGTCGGCGCCGGCGGCGATGAGCAGCGCCGTGATGTCCCCCTGCCGCCGCTCGATGGCGATGTTCAGCGCCGTCTGCCCTGCGGACCGGGGACGGGGCGCGGAAGCCTCAGCGCCGCGGGGCTGGCCCGCCCGCCCTCTGTGGCCTCCACACCCTCCCGCGAACCACAGGGAAATCAGGGCTCCTGGCTGTGTCTCCCGCCACCGGGAATCCCAGCTTTATTCTTTGCTCCCTTCCGGCTTGCGCGGCCCAAGGAGCGCGTGTGGAGCGCCGGCTCCGAGCTCCGGCACCAGCGCGGGGGTTCAGGGGTCAAGGGTGCACAGACGCAGTGTCCATGATTTTCCTCAAGAGACCACAGTGGCTGGGCGAGGTGCCTCACGCCTGTCATCCCAGCACTTTGGACGGCCAAGGTGGGAGGATCACCCGAGGTCCGGAGTTCGAGACCAGCCTGGCCAACATGGTGAAACCACGTCTTTACTAAAATTACAAAAATTATCTGGGCCTGGTGGTGCGCGCCTGTAATCCCAGCTACTGGGGACGCTGAAGCAGGAGAATCGCTTGAACCCGGGAAGTGAAGGTTATAGTGAGCTGAGACCAATCCACTGCACTCCAGCAGAGTGAGACTCCATCTCAAAAAAAAAAAAAGCCCACAGTGCTACTGAGAACTAAGTGCCACAATTCAGTGAGGGGCAGGAGCTGGGGGACCAAGAGCAAGGGCCCTTCACAGCCAGAGAGCATCTGTGTCTTCCCAGAGGCTCTCACCTGGGACCTCAGAAGTTTAGGAGGCTGGGCGGGGCCAGCTCCTAAGCCAGGCTAAGAGGTCAGAGCTTATCCTAAGCGCTAAAGTCACAGAAGGCCTTGACGTAGGGAACTGGCCAGACCAGAACTTGGAGTTTGGTGCCTGGGTGCTTTCAGATCTCTCGGGCTGCAAAATTGGAGGATGCATTAGAGGCAGCCGAAACCAGGGAAAGAAATGAGGAGGACCAAGCTAAGGAGAGGCAGAGGGGACACGAAGGGTGGAGAAGGCAGGGTGTCCGAGGACCCTCAGGACCACGGGCTGGGGAGAAGGTTGTCTCAGGTAAGGCTAACATCTGGCCCTGGCAGGGAGTGAATTGTATGCTGGAGACTGAGCAGGAAGGGCAGAGGGAGAGGCGTTCAGCCTGCTAGAGGCCGGAGAACTTCCAGATGGAAGGGACAGAGGCTGGGAGGAGGTGAGGGTCTCAACGTGTACCAACAGAAACAGCATTTCCCAAAGAGCTGCCACCATGCTGTAAACAAATGGTGGATTAAAGAACTAAACTTTAAAAAAAAATTAGGAATTTATAACTAACCTTTTGGTAGGGAAGATCCGAAGATCTTGCTTCTTCTTAAGCAAGATCCAAAACGCAGAAACCACAAAGAAAAGGCTGACACACTGGCTTACAAAAAGGCTTTTGGGTTTGGGGTTTTTTGTTTTGTTTTGTTTGACACAGAATCTTGCTCTGTCACCCAGGCTGGAGTTCAATGGTGCAATCTGGGCTCACTGCAACCGCTGCCTCCCAGGTTCAAGCGATTCTCCTGCCTCAGCCTCCTGAGTAGCTGGGATTACAAGCATGATCCACCACACCTGGTTAATTTTTGTATTTTTAGTAGAGACGGGGTTCTACCATGTTGGCCAGGTTGGTCTTGAAACTCCTGACCTCAGGCGATCTGCCCACCTCAGCCTCCCAAAATGCTGGGATTACAGGCGTGAGTCACCACACCTGGACACTATTATAACTTTAAATGTGCATGCGTTTGAACCCAAATATTCCAATGCAAGATATTTTCTAAAACATATGTGCACCTGTGCACAGGGTCATAGGAACGTGCACTGCGACATTGTCACAGCAAAACAACTGGAAACGCCTGACGACTGTCTGCCGGGGGTGGGGGGAGGAGCGGGGGTGAAATTAGCCATGGCGCAGACTAAGCTGCTGAAAAGAAGCTAGACTTTCACATTTTGGCATAAGAAGTGCTCTAAGGCCGGGCGCGGTGGCTCACGCCTGTAATCCCAACATTTTGGGAGGCTGAGGCGGGCAGATCACTTGAGGTCAGGAGTTCAAGACCAGCCCGACCAACATGGAGAAACCCCATCTCTACTAAAAATACAAAAATTAGCCGGGCATGGTGGCAGGCGCCTGTAATCCCAGCTAATCCTGAGGCTGAGGCAGGAGAATCGCTTGAACTCAGGAGGCGGAGGTTTCAATGAGTGGAGATCATGCCATTGCACTCCAGCCTGGGCAACAAGAGCCAAATTCCATCTCCGAAAAAAAAAACAAAGTGTTCTAAGACATATAGTTAATCAAAAACAACAACAACTTGTAGAATACAGACAGTATGATACTATTTTATGTTAAATAAATAAATAAAACCTTTTCTGTGTGCGCATATACACACACATATGTCAGAAGCCTAGGAAACTCCTCAAAGCATATGGGTAAAGGCCCTAACAAAAACTTATCTAAAACGCTGGACTGCTTTACAATGAAACTCTATTCATGTGATGTGGATGTCGTTAAAAATAGTTAGGCCGGGTGTGGTGGCTCACGCCTGAAATCCCAGCACTTTGAAAGACAGAGGTAGGAGGATCACTTGAGCCCAGGAGTTTGAGACCAGCCTGGGCAACATGGTGAAACCCTGTCTCTACAACAAATAGAAAAATTAGCTGGGTGTGGTGGTGCACACTTATAGTCCCAGCTACTCAGGAGGCTGGGATGGAGAATTACCTGAGCCCGGGAAGGTTACGGCTGTAGTGAGCCGTGATCACGGCACTGCACTCCAGCATGCCCAACAGAGTGAGATCCTGTCTCAAAAATATAAATAAAATAAAGTAAAATAATAAAAATAAACTGTTATGTTGAATCTGATGATGGATGTATAGAGGTTTATTATGCTAATAACTTTAGGTTTAAAACTTTTATAATAAAAACGTCTTCATCGAATAATTGCCTTAAAAAGTAAAACTCCGAAGGCCTCTGAAAAAATGCTTTAAAATGATATTAATAAAGTTGTGATTGGTTCCTCTTAGCAGCATAGGGGAGAAATATTAGCCCTTGCCCAGTGGGGAAACTGAGGCTCAGAGAAGCAAGATAACCTGCCCGAATTGTGGAACAGTGCTACTCTGCTGGTCCCGGAGCCCCTCTGCCCCACGTGTCGGAAACGCTGAGAGGAGGGGAAGCATCAGCAGAGAGGGTAGAACGGTGGTGGGGTTGCTTTCCAGGAAGACAAGAATAAATGGCTCCTCCCACCATTCAGAGACAGAGTAGGTGCCCACAGCTCCCCAGACCTCCTCGCCCCAGCAAGAGGCAGATTCATAAAAGAAGGAAAGCAAAAGGAGAGGCCGAGAACAGGGAGAGGGAAGGGTTTGTGACAGGACAGCAAAGCCTCAGTAGAAACACTAACGACCTTCTTTTATTCACTCATTCAAAAAATACATGTTAAGCATCTCCTATGTGAGACCGTAAGGGCACCAGGAAATCAGCTATGTTCAGTGGACTTCATCCCTGCCCTCAAAGGAAACATGCTGCTAGCAAAGGCCATAAATCCTGCAATACAGAAGAAAGCAGGAGACAAAGGGGACTGAGAAGGGAGGAGAATTGGGACAAGCAAGCTTAAGGCACTGGCCTGAACCTCCCTGTCCACGGGACTGCTGTCAACTCCCTAGAGACAGGCTGAGAATGTGATATGGTTCATCTAGTTTCTCTCTTTGCTTTGGCTACCAGGGAGCTCAGTGTGCAGTTTAGCACTCAGTAGCAGCAACCTTCCCTAGGTTTCCTCTCTTCCACTCCATACCTTCTAGTTTGTCACAATCCTTGATTCTTATATATAACAAAAATGATTTTGAAAGTCTGCAGAGTTCAAATAATAAATCACAATTTCTTTCTCCCATGAGAAGGATTAAGGGCCCAAGCTAGATTCCCACCTGGAAAAAGCTAAAATGCGACAGGGCATGGTGGCTCATGTCTGTAATCCCAGAACTTTGGGAGGCGGAGGTGGGTGGATCACCTGAGGTCAGGAGTTTGAGACCAGCCTGACTAACATGGTGAAACCCCATCTCTAATAAAAATACAAAAAAATTAATCCCAGTTACTTGGGAGGCTAAGGCAGGAGAAGCACTTGAACCCGGGAGGCAGAGGTTGCAG